GGGGAGGAGTTTGATTCTCGGTTGAAAGAGATTGAAAGGTGGTGGGTGGAGAATATAAGTCAGGGGGAGGAGTTTGATTCTCGGTTGAAAGAGATTGAAAGGTGGTGGGTGGAGAATATAAGTCAGGGGGAGGAGTTTGATTCTCAGTTGAAAGAGATTGAAAGGTGGTGGGTGGAGTGTGTTGGTAAGAGGGAGGGGATTGATTATCATGGAGTGTTGAATGAAAGAAATTGGGTGAAGAGTAGCGGAAAGTGGGAGGAATTTGATTCTTCGTCGACCTTGAGTGTGAAAAGGCAGGTGGAGAGTACACCTCAGAGGGAGGAGTTTGAAGCTCAGCTGGCTGAAGATGAAAGGAAGGGGGCAGGCCTGGTGCAAAATGGCCTCTACCCAATTCAGACAGCCCTAGAGTCATCTGACTTGCAGTCTTTTCATACACAAGGGCTTGTTCTGAACCAGGGGAGAAAACTGGGGTGGCACGGACACGCCTGTCCCTCTGTGTCACTTGTGCTGTTGCGCTTTCTGAAAGGATAGCAGGTATCCACACAAAACCAGAAGATGATGCAGGGCCTTGTGCAGGGTGGTCAGTGATATCCCTAGGCCGTACTGTGGGGGAGAAAAGGAGAAATAAAAGAAGAAAGTAGGATCAAGCATTTTATTCAATTAGTTAAAGCTTTTTTATTGATTTTTGAACTACATATAATCTATAATCTCACAACTGTAGCCTCCAGAATAGGCTCCTTACCGCTGAACAGGACAAGCGATTACAGAAAATGATTGGATGGATGGATGGATGGATGGATATCATCTATAAAGTACTATACACGCACATTGAGATACAATATGTATCGCATTAACACCAAATCCGAGTGCAAAACAAATCTCAAATTCTTCATCGATACAGAAAATCTTCTTAAACAGTTAAGCAGTCTCAGTTCCTAGAATTGACCTAAATTTGTCTACAGATCCTTGCTTAGACAGAGTTCTCCATGTGGTGTCTTACAGATAATTATTTATGATACACGGATACTGAGTATTTTTCTTTACAGAAGAGGACAAATTATCTGTCATTTCTATACCGCGTGGGAGAATGCTGATTGTGTGCTAAGTGCGAAACCACTGAGTGTTTCAGCCGCTCACTGTTTCACGCTAGTAAAAAAAGAGCAAAGCCAGTAATCTCTTGGTTTAGGTAAATCATTTGGGTAAAACTACTACATCCCACTGATCTGTTGATTTATGCAAATGATTCAGGCAAAACCACATTTGAAAAAGAGTGGATGTCAGGGCCCAGAAACTGTCCTATCATATGACCCTTGTGTAGGATAATTGGGCTCGTCTGAGTTCTGTCAGTATAAAACCAGGCCAGATAAACTAAGTGTAAGACCTTCTGAATTTCTGGGAATATCAGAATTCTGCTATGACATTTTCACTGAACACATAAGACTGAGACCAAGTTCTATGAATGACAATTAAAGTACACAGATGTCAATATTTTGCCATTCTGGTCTGATTCATCTAAATTCTTTAAAAAGGGTGGGGGGGGGGGTTACAGCGAGCGAGATCCCCACAGCATATACGAATTATTGTAACCCAGCAGGCTGAGAGGCAGCTCAAGAAGCAGAGCCAGAATGACACATTGTTGATATATGACTGCTTAATCATTTCATTCTATTGGCTAAACCTACTTCAGTTTCAGTTGTAAAATTTGTCATTATGTGTCTCTCTATTACCTAAGATAAAGATTCATGTCATTTTCTGTTTTCAGAGGAGAACATGTAGGCGTTTTTAGACTTGCTCCACTTAATGTGTGACACCCAACTGCCAAAGCCATATGAGACCCCACCCATTCATTTATGTCCATTGTAGTGGACATTTTGTTTTTGCATCTATCTTTTCACTGATGTAAGGAAACATATTTATTCCTGTTGTGCACTAAAGAGGACATGCTGTGAAATTAAAAATAAAAATTTGAAAAAAATCTCAATTGTAAGATGTCTTATTTCCCCCAAAGACAAATAACCTAAAATTGAAGGACATTTTTTTCCTTGGGTCTCAGGAGGATATAACAGAACATGGGGTAATGTTAAGCTGTACACGAAGTTACAATTTTCACTACGTTATCTTGTCAAAAGAGATGATAGCATTTTTTAAATGACATGACACAGAGTGCAACATTTGAAACGCTATATATTTAACTTATGCACAAATTCACATGCAAGGTTACAAACAGAAAAGAAACATGGTGAAGTATATAATATCAATCATGATATTTACATTTAATATGACTAAGCAGATATGAAATGTGCACTGGAGTCATTGAGATGTAGTATATAAACATTAATGTATAATTGTTCTTGGTGCGTAGAACAAACTGGTCTCTTCCCTTATATAGATACATGCTACACTGCTTTCATTTTGACAAATTAAAAACATCCGAAGAACATATCCTACCTAGAGGAGAATGAAATTACTGAACCACTTAGCTTCAATCAAATTATCTTCACATAAACATTCCAATGAAAATTATTTGCTTTATTTTAAGATCTTTCGGCAGACGTATCCTGAATATTTAAAAAGCACTCCACAATTTTGCTGCAAAGGTCAGAAAACCACCATTCATCAGAAACCTGAGAAAGCACATTTCAGTTTTTTCATTCAAATATTTAAGACGATCTCTTCGATGGAAAACTTTACCACCTGCGAAGATCGTATTTTAGTGCATTAGCACCATCCAGTGGCTAAATTAAGAATGACATGCATGTTCTTTCGTCCATACATACCTACGCTCCATATATCTTCTGGAGTAAGCCTGCTGGATCGGAAACCAGGTGACTCCGAAGAGTTGTGTATCTTGATGCTACCTGCTGTCTTCGTGCCTCTTGCTGGTGATTGCAGTTATTACAGATATATATGAGGAAAAATGTAACTGATCTACATCACAGAATGCAATACCACTCAAAGCCCATGTAGTGCCCTAGCAAGATTCACCGTCGGCACCCCCTACCAGAGACGAAGTGCAACTGGCTTGCAAAACCTAATAGGTTGACCGGCGCTGACAGAATTTAAAGGACTAATTTCACATACTTGTGACCTCTGGAAGGCTTCCATTCACCAGCATACGGTCAGCCAAAGTCCTGCCAGTTGAAGTGCTGATATTCATGTTCTGCTGACATTTATAATTAGAGAGCAAGCTCTGGAAGGGTGTACACCCCATGAGGGTAGCCTAAAGACAATTAGAACATTTTTGGCAAGTAAAAATCATGAAGTTACAATTAACACCAAACCAGAGGTCCCCAACTCCAGTCCTGGAGACCTACTGCCCTGGTCTTTACCCGAGAACAGGTGTGGCTCATCAGAGGTCAGGTAGGATAGAAAACCTAATGGACAGTAGCTCTCCAGGACCGGAGTTGGAGACCCCTACACTACATTATCTAGCAAAAAGAGACAAGCTAATATCAGAGGAAAGTGAAGTTGCAGAAAACAAGAAAATTTTGCTGAGCACTATGACACAAACCAAGAAAGGACACAATTAATGTAGAATGGACATGAAAATAAACGACGACAATACCTACTGTAGACACTATGCCTCTCTCAGTGGCATTTTCTTCAGCTTTAAACAATAGAGGAGTATGATTAGCTCTAATACAGCTCCGTACTCAGGTGAACATGTGTGCATGCATGTGAGAACATAAAGTAACCAGCCACCCATCTCCCTACCACTTTCCTTGGTCAGAGTCACAGGGACTTTTCCTCATAATGTGCACAGATACAGTGATGACTAAATATGTCTGTATTGCTCTTGTGTGCATGATTATATTTCCAGGACTTGTAGGTAGGGGAAACTCTAGGATTTGATCCTGAAGGGGGGTGAAGCCTCCTGGAAAAATATTGGGCACCACTTCCAGGGTCCCCTACCAAGAAGATGGGGGGGGGGTTCTCATTCTTCATAATAAAATTAGTCAAATGAGGGGTACAAAATGTGTATGACAATATGGGACAGATTGCTAAATAGTTCTTTCAGGGGGGGTAGGGACAAAACATAGGGTCTAGAACTGCCTATACTTGTGGGTAAGTCTATAGAGGGTGAGTATGGAACTCATACACACCAAGCACGATTATGTTGGCTGTCCTCCGATCCCATCCCGCCACGTTTTCAGCAATGCAGTGGTACTCCCCCGCATCGGCCCGCTCTAGCCTGGTGATATTCAGCATCCCGTCCTCTATGGAGATCACACACATACCCAGACAAGGCACAGCCATGGATAGATGTAGGTGTTACATACCCAACCAACAGCTCACACGCCACATGCACACTCTCCCTCTCCTCCACCCGTGCTCACTCACCATCCACGCGGATGCGTGACGAGGAGGAGATGGGGGTGTGGCCTGGCCCTTGGTTCCATGTGTACCTCATGGGCGAGCTCCCCACGGCCTGGCATGGTAGCACTACAGAGACCCCCACAGAGCTGCGCACCTCCCTCGGGAAGGAAATAATGACTGGGGAGACTAAATGGGGAGACAGGGAAGAAGTGAAGGGGACAGTGATGGAAACTCTACAAGCTTATGATTTTCAATCTATGGTTATATCCATAGGAATTTACCGGGGTGCAATTACACCCCCTAGTGGTCAGATGAAAATGTTACATGAACCTCCTCCCATCCATTTCTGGGTCACAGAGGGTCCAAGCAGAAGGCAGGGAATAACTGAGGATGGGGTGCCAGTCCATTACAGGGCATACTCCTGTACACCTATAGGTAATTTGGTGACTCCATGTATGCACACTGCAGGCCATCAAATTTGCAAACTGATCTCTATTTATTAAAATAATTTTGCTTAAAACCACAAATCTTATTTGCCCAGAGATACAAAAAGCTCACTCCTAGTGTGTGAATATGGGAGATGAACCAGGGGATCCCTGAGGGGGCCTCTTTGGGGTCTGGGGCTGGTTACACACCTGCTACACGCACAGAGGCTGTGCCCTGAGCCCGGCCGATGGTGTTCGTAGCGTGACACGTGTAGGAGCCTTCGTCATACGCTTTCACCGACGAAAAGTACAGCGTGGCGTTGCTTATCCTGCAGACACAAGAGGTGGTGAAAGAGGGAGCCCCCTAGTGTCAGCCTCACAAGGACGTCTGAAGGACTATTTAAGATACAGCTACTCATCACTATGCTGCTCAAATTAAAGCCAGTTATAGTCTAACAAAATGAACAAAATGTCACAATATAAGATTTTAATTGCTTTGGTCACTTGTTCATAATATTTTCTCATTTAGACTCCATTGGTCCAAATGACATCACATGGAGGGCTGCATCTGGTGCACTGCATTTGGTGCACTGCATCTGGTGCACTGCATTTGATGCACTTTAGAGGCAGATGTCAAATATGTGACAATGATCTCACCCGAGAGTGACTCTCCCGCCCGTTTGCACCGACCGACCCTGCTTTGACCATGTGATCCTCGGCAGTGGATATCCGGACACTTGGCAATGGAGCGTCACTCTCGAACCCAGCACTGCAGTCACCAACTTGGGCCACAGCATCACGGAGGGTGGGGCTTTCGGGAATGACAGTGCCAGAAAGTGCTCTAATGACTGTTGGGAGCATCAGCATGTGTCCAGCATTCAGTCAGGGAGGGGGTGGCACAGTGCGGGGCACCAGGAGTGGCGGGGGATGAGTGTTAATGAGCTGAGCGTTACAGTGCCACCAACATTGGTCAGGCGGCTGGAGTGAGATTTTCAATTTAAGACAAGTCTGCACACACACACAGACACACACACACACACACATTTACATAAATGTATCAGTTTTATTACCTTGTAAATAGTCTGTAAGGTTTGCAAACTACTCCAATGCTTTTGATGCAGCTAATTTTAGCTTTATAATAGAATAATATAGATTTGCCGTAAGGATCCTTGCGTGAGCGTAAATCAGAAAGCCAAACGCATGACCCTGGTGGTAATGAGCTGGGTGTTAGTAAGGAGACATACCCTGCACATTCAGATAAGCCTTCCTCGAGGACACGGCCCGGGGCAGGAGGCTGTTGGACGCGCGGCAGAAGTAGGATCCTCTGTCGGCCTCCTGTAACCTGGAGGAGAGCAGCACCATCACTCAGCAGACTGTAAAAAGAGGCAACTGCAGAACAGAATAATATATCTCAATGTTCTGGTAAATAAGAGCAGGATGTGTGGTTGGAAAGCAATGAATGAATCGCATTTTTTTATTGCTGTTACATTTTTTGAGACGTGAAATATGTCCATTTATTATATACAGGGTTGTGGGGGTCTGGAGCCTATCCTGGAAGTACAGGGGCAAGGCAGGGAATAATCCAGGATGGGTCACCAACCAATCACACATTCATACACACCTCTGGGCAATTTGGAATCTCCAATTCAACTTGTTTTTGGACTATGGTGGAAAACCGGTTTATTCGAAGGAAATCCCACAATGACACAGGCTGAACATGCAAGCTCCTTATACACAGACCCATGGCAAGGACTTGAACCCTGGTCTTAGAGGTGTGAGGCAACAGTTTTAACCACTATAACACCATGTCAACCCCTCTATTACTGCTTGTGCCCCGCCCCCAAAAAAAAAAAAATCACCAAAAGATGCCAAAAAAGAACAATGAAGATATATTATGCAAGCACTGGTGATTTTGTTTTTACCATCACCAATCCCCATGGTTACCAGCCAGTGACGCACCTGTGGAAGAGCAGGTCTCCGCTGGGCAGCTGGCTGAAGTGCGGCTTCTGGGTAAGCGGGCGGGCATTTTTAAACCAGGTGATGCGTGCAGGGGGGCGGCTACGTGGAGGTTTGCAAATGAGCGTGACTGAGTCTCCCGCCTGTGCCGTCGTGTTAACGGGCTGCTGCATGAAGCTCCACTCCATTTCTGCCGAGAGAGTGACGGCAACTTACAGCGACAACCAGTGCAGTTTGTCACCAAGACGTCCGCGGCTTCCTGCTTGCTGAAAGAAGGGTCTGCTTTGTACGTGCTGCCAGTCTGTGCCCTTGGGCGGTGGGGAAAAGGGCAGGTGTGTTTGGGCGGTTTCCTCCAAACCTGCTGTCTGGAGATAAGCTGGCTGTGACCTCACTGAGGTCTTCAGACCTCGCGCTTCGCAGTGGTAGAAGCCCTCATCTTCCTCAGACACTTTGCTGAAAGAGAGAGTTTGCAAAGTGGGCAGCCTAGCTAAATATCCAGCAAGCACACCGAGTTATTATGGGAACCAAAGTCAATGCACATTGAGTGACCATGCCAATCGCCTTTCCCCACCTGAAGACAAGGAGCTGACCGCTGTTACTGAAGCTCCAGCGAGAGTCATTCTGCAAGGGTACGCTGTTCTTGAACCAGTGCACCATGGGTAGGGGAAAGCCCTGGATGGCACAGTGCAGAGATGCTTCTGTGTCTGTAGCAACAGTGATGTTTTCTGGACCTTTGATGATCTTTGGTGCAGCATGATGCGCTGTGATGAATATATGATACATAAAATAAGTAAATAAAGATAAATGAATCATTACATAAATGTATATATGCAGAAATCTGACTTCTCCCACCTTGCACTGTCAATGTTGCCACAGCACTCTGCAATCGTATACTTAGCAAAGGATTGTGGGTAACACAGATATATTCCCCCTCATCATCCTTTGATACATCTGCAAGGTATAATGTGCCTGTTGTCTTTAGATGACTGCCCCCTCCATATTGACCCTGGAGACGAATGTACACAGACCCACAAACACAGTGAATATGCATGAAAACCAATAGTCAGCAACACATGGATGAAGTATACACTGACTGGTAGGATACCATAACACATAAGGCTAAACATTGTCAGGTTAAACAGGGTGATGCAGAGACCTAGAGCTCATGCCAAGGCAGCACAGGGCACACGGCTGGGATTAACCCTGGGCAGGACCCGAGTCCATCACAGGGCACAGGCAGGCGCAAACTCATTCATACACAGGCAATTCATAAAAACGTAGAACGGCAAATGAAAATTACGCATGAAAAATACAATTATGTAAAATGAACATACCACTGGAAAAAAAAATTGACAAAACATAAGAGTGGAAAAGCTCATGTTAGAAAATAAACATTTAAAGTATAAATAACGATGTTTTAATGATTATATGAAGGATTGGTGCCAGGGGCCAGATATTATGTGGCCCCAGACAAAATGTCACCTTGGGGCCCCTGCTGAAGAAATAAAGACCACTCTCGGTAGATTTTGCCAATCGGGGGGTGCCCCCGACAGTAGGCTTTGGGGTCCCTATAAGGTGCAGGGCCCCCAGAATCTGCCAGGGTATCCATGCCAGTCCGAGGCTCCCGACTGCTGCTATACCTGTATCTGATTCCCCTTGGTCACGGGCGAGCCATCCTTCTCCCAGGTGATGTGAGCAGGGGGCCGGCTGTCCCCCGAGATGCACTGCAGGAACACACTGTCACCCTCAGGCACTAGCTGCGACTTGGGGCTGAAGAAGACAGCCTCCATACCTGCTCAAACACGAAGGAGAAATCAGTGGGTCTGAGTCTGCATGTGATTGGCTGAGCGCATGAGCAGAAGCACGTTTCTGCGTGCGGTTTTGTGAGCGTGAACGGACTTTATGTGGCACATACCCGCCTTTTTCACCCTGACAGTAGCTCTGATGCGATCAGTACCATCTTGGACTTGGCATAAGTAGATCCCAAAGTCTCCCTCCAACAGGCGGGAAAAGAAAAGTGATCCATTGGACAGCTGGTGAATCCGTTCTTCAGGACCTGGGAGGGAACTTCCAGAACCACGCTCCCAGTGCACCGTTTCTGCCCCCTTCTGGTTGGGGCTGTACACTGGGCAAGGCAGCACAAGCGGCCCATCTGGCAAACCCACAAGATCTTCTGGTGGAGCTGTGAAGGCTGAACCACCAGCAGGAGGCAGTTACTATCAAGGTACAGGAGAGAAGCTAACAGAGATGAAGCCTTGTGTCAGGTGTTCATATGACCTGAGCTTCTGTTTAACTCATATTAAATATATATAATATAACATATTAAAACCACACAATCTAACCAGAAATAATGACATTGCACTGATAGTTTATCTGCCTTTGGCCCAAATGTGTCCTGTAAGACCGTAAAACACAAAGATGGTGGTTGTAGATTCCACTCTGCCATTAAAATAATCAGGTTTAATATCAGCTACACAAAAGGGATTCCTTAGCCTTGCCGTCATTTTACAATCAGTGAGTTGCAAAGATGATTTGCTTAGTTATTCCCAAGTCTCATTAAACTTTGCCAAGAAAGTTTTCCTCAGAAACTACAGACTGACGGTTGCAGATATTTATAGGTATTGAGTGTGTCGAAGCACATTGATTATATAAGAGCTTCTTACTGTGGTGCCTTCATATTCTCAAGCTAAGGAGAAAGTTGGACTATTTGAAAGTTGAACTGACATTCAAATGCCTCAATGGCCTTGTCCCAGAGTTGGTGAGCAGAATGATTGTAAAATCCAGCAGCACAGGAGCTCCAACAAGAGGAGCAGCAAATGCAGACTGTAAACCAACAAAATACAAAACATCATTTGGTCAATCCTCGTTCTCATTTAAAGCACCTCAGATCTGGAATAATTTACCATCAGCAATAAAAATGTTAACGAATGTTAGGGTCTTCAACTCCCAGATGAAAAAATGGCTGAAACAAAAGCAAATCTGTGAACACTGATGTTTCATATTAGTTATATTACTGAATTTATACTAATTTCTTGAGTGTGAGTGAGTGTGTGTGTGTGTGTGACTCGATAATTGCTGTTATTGTCTGTTCTTAAAAGTCCAACCAAGGACTAGGTTTGCAAATTAGCCTTTGGCTAGAAAACCTCCGTACAAAACAACGGTTGCATTGTTTTCACATGTCTTTTGTGCTGTCCTTGCTCAATAAATCCAATAAATAAATAAATTTCAACATCTTGGCATGTTCTGCTATGCCAGATGAATTCGTTTAATCTCTTTTGTCTGTTGCGGTGATCAGGTTACATACAGTTGGTGTCATGCCTCTAGTAGTACCATCTCAGCAGATTACAAATCGTTGCTTTTCCAGCATAATATGCAAACTCCCCAGCTCTCCCAGAAGGCCCATGAGTCTCTAGCAAATCAACAGCAGCTCCCTGGGACCCAGGAATGATGCGCAGTATCTGTGCTTCTGTTATTCAGTGGTGATAAAAATAGCTGGCTGGAAGTTCCCGATAAAATGTGCCAAGGGGAGTATTACCACCCAAGCCTGACCAGTAACCCCCCCTCCCCCCAACTCTCCCAGTTGTAGCTCATCTGCCTCCTTGAAATGAATATGCCATACATGGCCTGTATTTTCCATCCATTCACACACCATTCACTCACACACCAGTCAGTCACACACCATTCACTCACACACCAGTCAGTCACACACCATTCATTCACACACCAGTCACTCACACACCATTCACTCACACACCAGTCACTCACACACCAGTCACTCACACACCATTCACTCACACACCAGTCACTCACACACCATTCACTCACACACCAGTCACTCACACACCATTCACTCACACACCAGTCACTCACACACAATTCATTCACACACCAGTCATGTATTATGTTTGGCAGATGAATCATGTGACTGTTTTGCTCATGATTATTTGTATCCAAGACAGAAAGACAAGAAAATGATAAGAAGTTGAGTGGTAGAGAGAAGCCAACATGCCAAACAGCGCAGGGCTACAGCAACCAGCATGAAGCTCCACACTCCAAACAGACCCTAGACCCAAGCTGCTGGTTGCTATGGAGCTTCTGAAGGGGACTTAAAAGCCTTTTGTTACATTGAAACTAGCTGAATTAGTATGTGGCCAAATTAGGAAAGCAAGGCCAGCAATTACCTGTCAAATACAGGACTCTGAGGGCACTAGGGTGTGTTTGGATGCATTCCTGGAAATTACATTTATGTGCAATACCTTGAAAGTAGTAATGCTTCTATTATTATTAATGAACTTATTGTATTGTTTATATTAGTTCAGATATATAATATTCTGAACTGTCACAGATTCTTTGTTGTAATTGCAGAAATTCACACGCCAAGTTTAACTAGGACACTGAAAAATATCCTTTAGTCTGAAAATTTAGGAGTATGAACATTTTTATTCTGGCCTTTCTGTTTAACAGAAAGATTTTGATGCAGAGAGAGTTGATTCTGCTCTGCAGGGTTTTACTACGTGCTGTGGAGGACGTGCAGCCTCACAAACTCACAGAGTTCCGTCGCCGGCAGGTGCATCCAGAGGAAGCAGGTCAGCACCGCGGCCCTCAGGCATCCCAGCATCTGCTCGAGGCCCAAAGAGGTGAGGAGAGAGATCATCCTGATAGCCTGTCCCAGCAGCAGCCCGTGGGCAGGAGAGGTCACCCAGAAAAAGTGCCTTCATCTAAGCAAATTAGCCAGCAAGCTGGAAAACACCAGTACTGCCGTCAGCCCAGAAAATTAAAAAAAAAAATGTCTGGGTAAAGCAGTAAATCATAAATCTGTGTCTTTAAAAAAAATCTCCTGAATCAATCACTGTTCAACCATAGCACAGTGAATGCAAAAAATGCTTCAGGAATATTTTTATCATTCAGCGTGACCACCATGAATTTTAATTATAAATCATAATAATAATTGAAATGGTGGCCGCTGCCTGAAAGCATAATGGAATAATGGGCACCTTGTTACAGTAGCGACAATAAGAAACAAGTTTACTTGCGATACACATAATAACTAAGATACAGTATCACTCATTGCAGCTTGTTTTGGGACAGACAGTGAGAATTTCGCTTTTCGGGGTTTAATCCGAATTGACCTGATGGAGAGAAACGTGCCGCACAGTAAAGACGGCGACTCGCTGCACGTCCCGAGGAGCTGGTCTCACCTCGATATCGCCCCCTCTTCCCGGTGACGGCCCCGCGGTCTCTCCGCAGGTCCCACCGCACCTGCCGTGTGACAGTGCCGTCCCCGCTGCCCTTCTTTCTCTGAATGCTGGTCAGATGAAAAGGACGACCGGGCTTTGTAGTGGGGGGGCAAGCCCAGAGCGGGAGCCCCCCTGTCACGGCCGCCTGCCCTTTCATGCCTGCGATGTCCATTTAAGGTCCGGCCACTCCAGTGCTGTTTCTGAAGCGCCGGCGGTCCTGACCGCGGTGAAGCAGCCGGCGATAATGAGTCGAGCAGCCCCCCCCACTGTGCCCCCCCCCACTGCGCTCTCCATCAACATGTACAGAGACATACGAAGGGTCAGCTCCGAGTGGCACGAGTGAATGTCTGCTGGACAGAAAACCAGGGAGAAATGTGCACCTGTTTTTTGAAACAGAGAATACCAAACGTTCCCCCATCCCATCCAGTGTGTCCCCCGCCTTGTGCCTCATCCATTGTCTCATGCCTCATACCTCATCCAGTGTGTCTCACACATCAGGCCTCATCCAGAGTGTCCCTCATCTCACACCTCATCCAGTGTGTCTCACACATCATGCCTCATCCAGAGTGTCCCCCACCTCATACCTCATCCAGGGTGTCCCTCATCTCACACCTCATCCAGTGTGTCTCACACATCATGCCTCATCCAGTGTGTCTCACGCCTCAAGTTCCCTGGAATCATATACTGGATAAGCAGTTATGGAAGAAGGATGGGTGGGTGGCTGGATGGGTGGATGGATTTTTCTTATTTGCCACTTTTTTCTGACCTTCCATTCACTTTGAAAGTTAATTTTAAATGCTTTAAGTTTAATGATTTAAAATATAGTATATGCACGTATGAATGGATACCAAAGCCTGATTATCACATATGCATTATATCACATGCATTTAAGGTATCTTTACCTGAAATATTCTGCAGATCACTCCAAATGTGTGTTTAATTGCTTGATTAATTAATTGAATTAATTAAATGAGCTGCTCACCAGCATACAGAGTTGGTATAGTGTAGACTCTGGTTTAAATTAACAGAAGCAGCATGGCACCCAGTCAGTCCAATAACTAAGGAAATAGGAGAAAACCCAGCAGATATGATGACCCAGAATTTGCATGTGAGACAGCTGGGAAGGAGGCAGACTTGGGGTCAATGGAGGGAGAGAGAGAAAGAGAGAGAGAGAGAGAGAGCCACGCAGGGGCTGGGAAGCGGCCCTCGAGGCTGTGACTCATCCTTTGGGGTGCAGAGCCCGCCGGCGCGGCGGAAGCGGATGAGGAGATGGAGGTGCGTGTTTGTTTTGGCGGCCGTGCCGGCCTGGTGTCAGGAGGCCGCTGAGTAGCTCATTATCGATGATGCATCAGCTCATTTAAGCCATTATGAGGCACGTCGCCCATCAAGGACCTGGACTTCTGACTGAAAGGTCGCTAGATTTGAGAGCATGACTATTGTAAAATAATCCAGGAGTAATTTGCATCACAGTTACTCATTTTGTGGGTTCACTCTAATTGGGTAATGCTGATTTTAAATTCAATACAGATAAAACCCATCTTATTTTGACAAATACTTCCACACTTCATATAAACCTGAATGAAATAATATTCATTTACTATACTATTTATGAGAACTATAAAATAATCACCAACATTATCCCTAAAATGCATAAAAACCTGCCATAACACATATCATAACTTGTTCTAAGAAAATGTTCTTTTTTTGTCCATTTTTCATGGCAGGAAAAAAAGAATTAAACTGGTCTTATTAAAATGTAGGAAAAATATTACCAACAATAAAAAAATCAGCATAGTGGGTCATCACACACCTCTGGAAACCGGGATCTCTTCCCTAGTTCTCTGTGGAGATGATGATCTGCCCTATGTGGGTCCTCCAGTTTGCAAAAACATGTTAAGGTGAGCTGGAGTTACTAAGTTGTCCGTAGGTGTGAGTGGTCTGGGTGTCTGTCTGAATGAACCACAGACCAGGCCATCATCGCTGCTTGAGGACCACCCACAATAAACCTGTGCTGAGTCACTCAGAAACATTACATTACCTGTGGAAATAATCTCTATCTGAAACCTGTGTCTAGACTTTTTGTAATGTAAAATACATTTTGTTTCCACAGCTCACTGTTTCACTACACATAAGTGTAAAAGTAACTAGAAATGTACTGCTGAAATTAATTCCAAATGATCAATTTTATTATTATAAATACACACACAGAATCTGATGGGGAAATAGGAAATACATTACCCAGTTTCCAGTGTTAGACATATTTTATAACACTTGATGGCTGGCTGGGGTTGCTTGGGGGAGAAATTGGTAGGTTTGGTTAGAATTCTTAGCAATTTTTGAAAAAACCCCAGCTACTCCATGTTCCTCAAGCCCTGGAAAGCGACCAAGCCATTAAAATTGCCCCCCACCGGCTCGGAAATGCCACCCCATTCAGGCAAACTGTGAAGAGCACTAATTACCCGAAACTCTATTGGAGTGAAAGGTGAGTGAGCATCACTGCATAAAGTGGACCTGAAATGTGCAGCAGATTCACGAGTTTCTTTTTTGAACATGTGCTTCAATATTGAATTATGCTGAAAACCGTGAACACAACTGACACACTGTTTTCCGTTCGTACCACGAGGCAGCCATCCGACACTTAGCACAATCACTCTATGTCAAACACTGCCATGATTAGCTATGTTTAACTTCATGTTGCCGAATGCAGGAAATACAGTCCTGCTTGGAGAGGGGCCATTTTTAAGATTGCTGTGGCCTTTGACTCATAAACATATGCTGAGCGATTCAGACTGGGCTGGATCCTGGGCTGTACCCACCTGCCTTTCATTTATTTAGCAATTAGCAATCACAACCACAGAATTTGAGTCGTAGCCCCAAAGATCATGATCGCAGACCTACTGAAGTTATACTATAGGACTATTTCTGGTGAATTTACATGCGATATAAGCTGTTATATACCTGCACACCTCAGTTAATAATACTCCCATGTAGCTAAATGTTATTGAGGCTGTCTGGGATGGGTAGCTATGTCAGTTAGCAATGTGGCAGACCCTCAGCCAGAAATCTATAGATGAGTAATGACAGGCTAATGCGTCATGTGCCTTAAAAGCCACTAATGTGTCTGTTTCCACTGTAGGAAAAGCTAATGGAAGCTGGAAAGTAACGCGTCACCATAGGGCAGAAATCCTCTTCTGGCATGTTCTCAATAACTATGCTTAAATCCAAGTTCAGTCACATGCACCATGAATTTAAATTCCAACGATATCCACAGCTTATGAAAATGTGAAGGTAGTAGGCTATTTGGCTTTTTTCTATATCTCCAATTATGGAAGAAATCTGGAAATTAGGTAAACGATACAAGCACAGTTTCCTTATGTAAAAGCCTGTCAGAGGTCCACAGATCTGACACACACTTCACACATGTCCCTCCCCAAGAGATGGAGAGAGAAAATCAAGTCTTTTCAGGTTTATTAATATTTCAGCTTGACTATATATGAGCCACAGAATGAAAATCGTAACAATGAAACCGCAGTATTTGGGGATGTGGCCGAAATGGGGAAAAACACTGCCCTTCGTAGATCAAGAGCAGCGATTTCCAGTCTTTATACAAGAGGAGGAAAAAAAACAAGAATAAAGAGGAGCCTCGCTGAACGGCTTCACACAATGCATTGATTTACATGTCATTGTGTCGTCTAGGGGCTGCTCAGCCCTTTCAAGGGTGGGGATTTTATCAACAGCTGGACAGTCTTGTTCCAGTTTACCTGCACCAAGTCTTTACAAATGTAAATTGACTTTTTTTTTTGCCAGAGAAATCCAGGACAATCAAATGTAGATTTGCACATGAGCGGCGCGGCGTTCGCACGTGAAGGCCATCTTCAGTACGTGAATAAAAGCCGAATTTGCCAATACTGCCAGTTTGCGATGTCAAACGCACAGATTTGTCAAAGCCGAGAGTTGAATCTGGTTTGCAGACGGTTTTTTAAAATGCTAAAATGACTGTATGTTGCAGATTTTATGTTCCATGAAGGCTCAGAGGTTCTGGGAAATCGTAAAGATTTACAAATCTTTAATATGAGCTTTAACTTCTTTTGGACAGTAGGTTATAAAGTGCCATCCATGCAGGCCCGATGCACACTCAGCGGAAATCAGGTCTGGGTAAAAACGGTTTAGTTTACTTGAGAGTGAGGAGACAGAATAACAGCCATGGTCACAGATTATCTTCAGGGAAGAGGCTTGGGGGAGGCAGAGCGACATGGGAGGGGCACAGGGGGCCAACCGTAAAAGGGGGGGCATCCAAAGAGGATAAATGCTGTCACCAGCTTATTGCTATAAAGTGCATAGAAAAATAACAATAATTGGGCCTTGTATACTCATGCAATTCTGGGTCCCCTCCCCTCACCCCAGTTGGCTCTGCACACTGCAGAAAAACAACTTCAAGAACTTCTCCCCTTCCTGTTTTCAACGCTCCAGGACAAGTTCAATAAATTATGCTTACCCAAACAAAACATTGAAATAAGCGCCTCATGGTCTGCTCCCGAAACCGTGTATAATTTTCAGTATGCTGTATTTTCCAAACCGATACATTTTTGTATCTTTTTTTTTTTTACAGATCACATATCAAATGATTTTACCTAGAATAATCAGTCGTTAAAATATTCAAAGTTACTCGGCGCGTGAAGACAAATTGAGGCATTGCATAAACAGACCTTTATTCAAGTGAACGTTCCATTTTGAAAGTGCAAGATGAAACACAAGACTCACTCTCATGTGCACGGTCGCTCAAACTCGTTACTATGACAACACTGGAGGAAAAGCTGCAGTTGAGGACCAGCTGCTGTGCTCCGCTAGCAATGACCGCCGTCTGGGCGCCTATCCAGTTCAGTTTGGCTTCTAAAGAAGTTATTGGGTTTTTTTTTACCAAGCGATTATAAATTATAGTTCCCACTCACTTACTCCATCAATTTCTCCATTTACTTCTATAATTGTGTAGGAATTAGAAAATGGTTTGTCTTTCTAAATATATATGAGCAGATGGGCCAGGAACATATTTTGAGTCTGAAAGATCAATTGTGATTAAAATCCAGACCA